TGGCCTTACACTGCTAAATTAGGGACGGCTAGCGCAGATAGCCCTCGTATAGCTTTGCGCGAAATCCATAACAAACAAACCAACAACCTTCTCTCTAGTCTAGCATTTCAAACTTCGGAACAGCTAGCGTAGCTCTTGTGTAATTTTGTGCCAATATCCGAAACAAGTAAAAACAATACTTAACATAATAATAAATTCCGCGCACGTAGACAAAGCCTACCCCGGCGGTTTGCGAACCTACAGCATGTGTATCAAGAGTTACTTACACATCAGGTTATTTACTGTGGCTCACAGCACTTCCATGTCAATTTACCAAATGATAACACAATAACTCCACTCTTCAAATACTTCAGTTAGGGTGACGTGTGTTACTAGATCTGTAGAACCATTTATATGGACCACAGTATCTAAGTATTGTACTGTAGATGGAACATAAACACGTTATAACTACTGTAACAATGGCATGTACTACATTACACTAATAAACCCAGGCCAAGCGTGGTTCAGTGTCTCACTGTTATAAAAATGTGCTCCGCACATAGGCGGATCGTCGTTGCTCTTCAAAAGTAATGGTAAATCCCACTATTCAGTCAGGCAAGAGTAGCCCCAGAGTTGGCGATGGTTACTGTTGACTAACTGTCTTATCTCTAGTTTATCAGCTCAAAATTCTATACTGCTATATGCAGAAAGTCAATTGTTTGTGAAGTTTTGCCCAAAATGTCTAGAATACAAACTATTTTCTTTACTCAATCAGGTGAGGGATTCAGATGAACGTTGTAATACTTATCCTGTTGAATCTCTTGTTATTGTGGTTACGTTTCTAACCTGAAGAATACCGCAAGATCGCTGATCAGGTTGAAACCACCAAATTTAGTAATTTTCACTCATTTTTTTATGTTGAAAACCTGATCCTTGAGAGACTGATTCCCAAACCCTTTCTCCCCAGCCCCCAAAACAATAACAACAAAAACGCCCAAGACAGTTAACCTAAGGTACTCATCCATAATTTTAATTCATATTGTAAACGTAATCTATATAAATATGTATAAAGCAGAGTTGTCCGTCTATCTGTCTGATGTAGCAAGTTGTTGTGAAGAGCTGGCTAAACTAATTCCAACGATATTTAGTAGATCTCACCTCATATACTGAGTTTAAATTGATAGACGAACGGTTCGCGTTTGGCGGCCATTTCAATTATGGTCAACTGAGCAAGGATTTCAGTATCGAAACACGTGGATCCAATACCACACGAAATTGACGTTTAGCACAAATACCTTTACATCAGACGAACGTATCGTGTATTATGGCTCCAATTAGTGAAAAAGGGCAGCCCACGCCCCCATTTATAACACCGAGTACAGTTGATAGTAACTTGATAAACAGAAACAATCTCAGTCTAGCCCAATTATTTATTTTCAGTCACATCAGCAACTTAAGTTACACTGAACGGAAAGCTTTACTCTTATTTCAGCAATAAAATAGTTAGCTGTTAGTTAGATAGGTTGACTCTTTAGAACTCTAGGCCAGATTAAAATTATTAAATGTCACCCAGTTGTCTGTCAGCCAGATAACATTTGCTTCGTTATAAACCAATGAGAAACACGTGGTGTAAACGGCATCTGTTAACAAACACGTTCTCTAGGTCAGCTTTCCACAGCTCGTGTTACTTACTTTATTATCTCTAAATTACAAGCAAAGGTTTATTACTTTATTCTCATTACTATATAGTGACGACAGTTTTGGACAGAGTAATTTCTTCAAAACAGACGATAGAAAACGTGACTTAGGTAATAAGGTAATCTTACTGACAACTGTCTATGTGTTTGCTTTATTACAAATTGTCACTAGGCCTAGCGATGACTGTTTTAAAACAATTTACGTTTTGAGGTAGTGCAACACCTGAAAATGTGTATCCAATTTTATAAAATTCCATCTTTTGTGTCGTTTCTCTCAAGTTTTTAACAATAGAAAAATTGTTTCGTCTTGCCTCCCACCTTTATGAGTTTTTTAAAACTGATCTGTTCGTCAGTACTCCTCCCGCGTTTGCACTGAAAGAAGAAATATTGGGTCTTGTAACTCTCCTCTTATGGGTTTTTAAACTGGTCTTTTTCTCGATTCGTCTCCCGTGTTTCTAACAATACGAATATGGGTTCTTACCTTTGACTTCCTCAGTCGAAAGACAACAACAAGGAGGACAACGGTGATAGTGGTACAGAAACTTTGAAGCCCGAGGGCAAAACTTCTGAGAATAATGTTGTATTCTACAGTGCACGGGCTGTCGTCTTCACAGCTAGGGCAGCCAGGCTTACACGGGAGACACATGAAGCTATCTGGGTATCTGGTGTCGTCCTTCGTTCTTGGATTGTCATCTAATAAGCTAGCCACGAAAAAGCTTTCGATCACTGTGCCTTCGAAATAGTCCACGGACTTATTGGGTAGAGGAAAATAATATCCTTCTCTACAACGGCACTTGTATGCTCCTCGTCGAAATCCCATCCCAGATATAGGAATACACTGAAAAAAACAAAAAAAAAACAAGAACAATTCGATCCCAGATATAGGAATACACTGAAAAAAAAACAAGAATAATTCGAT